GGGGTGAGAAAAAGAGAAATTGGGAGGAGGAGAAGGAAATTGGAGCGGGAGGAGAGATTGACGTTCATCACATACACACAATGCACCCCTTGCACACAGAAAAACACACAGACACACATACACAAGCAATGCAACCGTTACACATAATGCATCCCTTACACACACAGAAACACACAATGCATTCATTACACACATTCAATGCATCCCATACATACACAGAAACACACCTTGCAGCCCTTACACATACAAACACAATTTCACACAATGCATTCCTTACACACATCCCCTACACACTCCACCCCCTGTGAACAAACTCATTGGTGGAACATGAAGGTGGACCCTGGGACCCAGACCTTGATCTGTGTAAAGGACCCCCAAAAAATGGAGCTGCTTCCAGTTCTCCCAGAACATTGATTTTTGTGACCACAGTTACAAACCGCCTCCAGAGAGCCTGTTCTGCACCAGACCAGTGGAGCAGACTGCAGCTAGAGCCCATCATCATCCTCATCTGGTTGTAAGTAGGCAATCTAGTATATTATTCGTGGCACTAAGCTCTAATTTACCTCACATTAAAGAAACACTATAGTCCCCAGAACCACTTCAGCTTAATATAGTGGTTCTGGTGTCTATAGCCTGTCCCTGCAGGCCTTTTAATGTAAACACGGCGGCACTGCAGCACTGGCGTTAGTTAACATGGCAAATCATATGGTTGGGGCATTGTGATGTCACATGGGGGGCGGCAAACTTTACTTTTGCCTAGGGCGGCAAAAATCCTTGTACCGGCCCTGGCTGGAGGGGGCTGTGTGAGCTGTGGCCGCACAGTGTCCCATGGTAGTTAGGGTGCCAGTACAGCTCACTCAAGCAAACAGCTGATAAACTGGCCGCACGGAGGAAATGTGTATGTGTGACTGTCTGTCTGTAACTGAGTGTGTGACTGTCTGCCTGTAAATGTGTGTGTAGGGCTGCAGGGATTTTGTAGAAGGGGGTGGGGGTTTTGTATTGGGACAGGAGTCTTTATAAGGGGGGATAAGCAGGGGATTTGTGGAAGGGGGTTGCGGGGGTTTTGTAGATGGGGCAGTACAGGATTTGTAGAAGGGGCAGGACAGAGGTTTTGTAGGAGGGGCAGGGCAGGACAAGGGTTTTGTAGGAGGGGCTGACAGCGGTTTTGCAAAGTTTACAAATTGTAAAAATAAAGAAAGAAAACCTTTAACATTTTTTACAGGTTTTTTTTTTTTGGGTGGGGGGGGGTGCCAAGCACAGGATCCGCCCCGGGTGCCAAATGCTCTAGGTACGCCCCTGCCTAAATCTCTTGGTAGAATGAATAAAAACATTGTGTTATTGTGAGGCTGTTCTCTGTATATTAGGGAGGCCTTCCCCCAGCCAGTGTCCCCACATTTTGCTATTATTATTATTGGTATTTATATAGTGCCAACTTATTCCGCAGCGCTTTCCAAATGATAAAAGTGGGAAATTAAATTATAAATGAGACAATTACAAAATATTACAGGAGCAATAGGCTCATAGGGATTCTGCTTAAACAAGCTTACATTGATATAATAAATGTGATGGTGATCTACCTCCCCCTTCCCCCCTGATCCTACCCTGAAACAAATTAATTAAGTTTTCCACTTCACCCCATAAAAAGTAGATAAACTAATTTCTGAACAATTTTAAAGTTATTTTTGGTTTAAGACATTCTAATTCCTATACTGTGCATGGAATGTTGATACTCCTGTAACTTTATTTATTTTTTATTTTTCTCAGACTTCTAATTTCTCGGCAAAACATTTTCACACTATGTGCCATTTTGTTTAAAATGTGGCTATTATTTCACAAATTTAAATTTGACTTACTGATCCTCATAGATAATGCTGTATAACCAACCATGGTGTTCTACTTACTGTTATTTGATG